TTCGAATTAAAGAAAATAGTATTTTTAAAAATAGAAATATTTTTATAACAAGTTTTATTTTTACAAAATAAAATTGTGTTGCGAAGATAAATTTCTGATTGACATATAGAACATTTTTCAGGAATTTGAATAATGTTTACTTCGATTAAATATTCAATAGTTTTTGATTCATCACAAAAAATATTGTTTAATTTAATAATCAATTGCATTATTTTTTTTTTAAATTTAAAAAACAAGAATATTTATTTCTTTTATAATTTTTTTTTAATTTATTTTTTTCTGCTTTATGACTAAGATGTTTATATGGAATACCAAATTCAAATAGTCCAACTATATTTTTATGACCTTCAATACGTTTGCTAATTTTTGGAATTAGTTGAAATTTTTCATCTAAAGTTTTATATGTTCCTTTTTTTTGAAAAAATTCTGATTTACAATAGTTTGAAGCAGCTTCAAACAATCCAAAAATATATTCTATATGTAATTTTGAGTTATTAAAAATTTGTTTTAATTTTTGATAACTAACATGATTTTCTGTTTGACAATAACTTTGAATATGTAATCTATTAGTTTTAATACATCGTTCATATTGACAAATTAGATAACTTAATTCTAGTTTATTAAATTTCATTATATCAGTTGGAATAGATCTTTCACAATTACTACCATCTTGTATACAATTTAAACAAGTAATATCATTACATTTGTTTAATTCACAACAATTTGTACATATGTTATCATCACATCTAATATGTTTTAAATTACATTTAAAACAATTTGGATAGTTTTTATCATTTTTATGATGTTTTTTTCCTATACATTTAAATTTTTTATAGCAAGGTTTACAATAATATTCGACAACACAAAAATATTTCATTTTAATAAAAGTTAATTTTTGAATATTATTGTTGTATCTATATTTTTTTTATGTATTATTTAATATTTTTATTATATTTAAGTCGAGAGTTGTAATATATTCTTATGTTAATTTCTATAGTTATGTTTATTAAATATACAAGGTCACTAGCTAATGTTACCTTTTTTTTTCTTTCTGTAAGATTTATTTCTATAATTTTTATTATTGCTATTTCCTTTTCTTTTGTCTAGCTAAGCAAATTTTTCAATTTTTAATCTTTGGTCTTGAGTTTATTAATATTGTAATATGCTATCTTTATTTTTTTTATTTTTTTTATTTTTCTTTTAATAGGCTTCATTTTGTTTTTGTATTTCTAACTTCTTTCTTCTTTTTACTATATTCTTCTTTTTCTTAACAAGAAGTTTTTATTTCTTTTTTTTTAAATACTTCTTTTTTACTTTGCAAAATTTATCAATCTTCTTGTCTATATTCATTAGTTCAACTGTAGTGCCTTTAGAAGTGGTTGGCTTGGTCTATTTTATTCTTTTCTCTATTTTTCTTTAGTCTTTCTAATTTTTTTTAATATTAGACCTAGAATATCTTTAACATATGAGGTTCTTTCTTATAGCTAAGTTTGAATTACCTTTTCTTTTTTTATTTTCTCTTACTTCTGATCTTTAGTTGCTAAGTTTTTTCTAGCTTGTATTTTGTTTTTATAATTTTTACTTTTTCATTCACTTCTGTTTTCTTTTGATTCTACTTTTCTTTTGTATCTATTTATTAAATCTTTTGCATTTTTAAGTTCTTCTTTAAACTTATATCTTCTTGTATCTTCTTTTTATTCTTTGTGTCTTTTGCATTTTACTGTTATTTTATTTACTCTCTTGTTATCTCTGAGTCTTAAATTCTTAGAACATTAAGATTCTGTTATATCATACTTTTTTTTTAGTAGTCATATTCATTTTTGTCTAGCTTTTAAATAGCACTACTGCATAGTTTCTTAGCTTTTTTTATCTATTGCATTTGATGGTATATATATTGCTATTGCTTTTCTGACTTAAGTTCTCTTAAGAGAATTAGTTCAAATATTTCTTTTGATATTTTTTTTAGTCTTGTTATAAACAAGTTCTTTTTTCTTTTCTTTTTTCTTCTTTACCTGTTGTCATTCTTGCTAGTTTTTCATTTTTCAAGCAATTATGTATGAGAATATCTGTCTTATATTTTTCTTTAATTTAATTATTGCTATTGTTCTATATATGCTTCTTTTTATTTTGCATAAGATTATATTTTCTAATTTTCTTACTAGATACCTAACTTCTTGCTCTGAGATTTCTTTTAATAAGTTCCATATAGTAAGTATTACTAGGGTTTTCTTATTTTTTATATTGGTGTTTTCTTTTTGTTAACTTTTCATTTTGTTTTTTGTTTTTCTCTTTTTTTCAATATCTTTTTGCTTTCTTGTTATTCATTCTTTCTTTTTTGTTTTCTCTCTTTTTTATTTTCACTTTTACTTTTATATTCTTCTGTATCTAAAATTATTTTAAACTAGTCATTATATATTTTTTAGATCTTGCTGATTACTTCTTCTTTGTTATGTTTATAGTCAAAGATAACTACAATCAAAATATTAGTTTTTTTAAATACTTTTTTAACTTTTAGAGTATTACAAGTTAAATGAATAAATAAAGATTAAATAATAGGTAAATAACAGAAAAAAAATTTGCCATTATTCTATTCTATATCTGCCAAATAATGGCAGCATAACAGCAGTATAATAGTAAAATAATAGTAAAATAACAGAAGGTTTGTCAATATGAGTAATATAATAGTAATATAATAGAAAAATAATAGAATAGTTCTATTATTTTACTTTTAGTTACAAAAACTAAAAGTAAAATAATAGAACTATTCTATTATTTTGCTATTATGTTACTATTATGTTATTTATATCAACAAACCTTTTGTTATTTTACTATTATTCTACTGTTATATTGCTATTATGCTGTTATTATTTAGTGAATATAAGGTAAAATAATAGTAGATTTTTTTTTCTGTTATTTACCTATTATTTACTTTTATTTATTCATTTAACCTATATATGTTTATTTAATACTAATAGTCTTTTTATAAATTTTATTCTTTTTATTTTTGAGTTATCTGATATATTGTATACTGATATGTTTGTTATATATAAAGGTGCTTATAGCAAAAGGTAGCTTTGGGCTAGCCAATCAGATTTTGGGATTTTATATAATATCCAATTAACTAATAAATATCTTTATAAAAACAAATTTTAGTTGCTAAATATATTAATAAAAAAATATATAATTTGAATTAATTATTTTAATAATATTATATATATAATAGTTATATACTAATTTTGAATATGATTTTTTCAAAATCACATGATTTTCCTAAAGTTATCTTTTGCTATAGGTGCTCTTATATGTTGTTTTATTGATACAATCTCTGTTTGAGGATGACTATATGCTTTGTTCTAATAGTGCTTTCATAAAGCTGCTCTTCTTTGTTTCATAATTATATTTCTTTTTTCTTTTTTTTCTTTATGATTTCTAATTGCTGCTATTATGTTTTGACAGTTTTGCTATATTATGCTTGTCTTTAATACTTTAATTTTCTTTTTTATATATTTGTCTATTGTTGCTATTTTTGTTACTACACTTGTGTCTTTTCTGTCTTCTTTATTTGTTTTTTTTTGTCTTTTTTTTCTTCTTCACTTATGTTTTGCTAAAGTTTTTTTTTATTTATTACTATATTTACTGTTTTTGTTATTTATTTTATTTTTTTTATATATATTTTTGGTATAATTAGAACTTCTTATAGTATTATTTAATTTTTTTTATTGTTCATGCTTTCTATTGCTATTGGATGTTGGCTTGCATAATTTATTTTTTCTCTTTATTTTTCTATATTGGTTGGGTTTTTCATGTCTACTTTAATTATTACTTTATATATTTTTTTAGTATTATTATTTTTATTAAATCTGTTTTTCCTAATATTGCTACAATTATAGTTCTTATATTAAAGTAGTTGTCTCTATTTGCTAGTTTTTGCTTTAACTCTTTACTATTTATAAGTTTTAATATTGATTTTGCCTTTTTACTTACTGTACCAACTTTAGTATTATCAACTCTTTTGATTTCACTTACATTATCATTTGGCTGTGCTTATATAACTCTTTTTAATTTATCTTTATTACTTACACTTTATAATACTTATATATCTATCTTGTTTATTTTTATATATATTTGTTTATTTGTTTTTTATATGCTCATATGCTTTAAAATAATCTACAATTCTAGGTTAATGCTATTTTTTCAAACTTTGTTTTTTGATTTTTGTTTCAAATTTGTTTTTTTTTTACTTACTATATTCTTTATTTTCTTTTGTTATTATATCTGTTAAGTCTATTTTAAATATTCTTTCTTGTTGTCTAAGTTTTCAACTATGACTTTAACACTAGTTTTTATATATTTTTCAATTTTTTTTTTTATGAATTTTGTATTCTGTTAATTGATAAAAAGAGTTATAATTACTACAAGTATATACTTTTTGAATTTATTTGTATAATTTCATTTTTTTTTTTGGTATTAAGGTAAGACCTTGCTCATATCTTTATTGGTAGTTTAAAAATTAGTAGCTACATAAAGCTGCTATGTACAAAAAGTAATTTTTTATATAAATGCTATAGCTAAAACTAACACTTGCAATCAGAACTAAACTATTAAACTGCTAACTATATAGCTACTCTAAGTACAAATAAAAGAAAAACTATATTCAAGAATAAAAGCTCTGACATATTTATCTGTGACCTAAACCTACTAAAGTGGTCAAGATTTATTTAGATTTGTAAGTTTAGAATATGGTTATATGAAATATTGTATTTGATCCAAAGGATAGTCCAGATGTTAATTTTACAGATAGCATAACTGATAGGTGAACAGGTATTAGAATTAGGATGTAGTTGGTCAGATAGCCCACATAGACAAGAATAAGTATAATTTTTGCGATTAAAGTTTCTTTTGTTATTTTGATTTGATTGAAATAAGGGTCTGGCATAGGGTGGTTTAAGTCCTTGTTGTTGTTTCCAGTTAGCAAAGTTTATACAATATAGTTTCTATATTTGTTCATAAGAAAGTTTATTAACTTTGAGCAGAATAGCAATAATTGTTTGTGAGGCTAGTTTGAATGAGATGTTAAAGTTTTGTACAATCTCAATTAAAGATTTAAAGATAAGTCCTTTGAGTGTGATATCAAGATAGTGTTAATTGGTTTGAAGAGGTATAGAGTAAAAGGCATAGTGATTACTGATTTTATAAATAAGTTCTTCTTGTTGGTTTATAGATAAATCAAGATCTGTATGATTAATGTATTTGGATATGCTAGTTTGGATAATATTGAAGATAAGTAATGGGTTTGAGCATGTATACCAATAGGTTAGAGAATTAGTGAGATTGCAGTTAAAACAATTAGTATTGTAAAATGTATGTGAATAGGTTTTGTGAAAATAAAAATAGATAGAGAGTTCATTTAATAAAATTTTGATTTTGAAAGTTTAAGGTAGTTGAGTTTAAAGTTCATGACATTATGAGTTGTTTTTTGGTTATTATTAAAGAAAAACCAAGTTGTTCTCCAATCAATTTGGAAAACCAAGGCTTTACATTCTCTGTTATGTTTTTGGAAAAACCACATTGCTAAAATGTAGGCTTTGCAGATATTTTTGATGAAACTTCTAGTTGGATGTTCTATAAAAT